TCCCCCCCTTCCCCCCCCCCCTTTCTTTTTTACCTTCATTTCTGGGGATATGGCAGAGCTGTCCTGCTTTTCAGGACAGATTCTTTTTTTTAAATTGTTAAATATCCTTAAATTTAAAATCACTTTTTGCTCAGAAACGTTTTAAGAATTTTTCTTTTTTTAAAACTAAAACCCTCAGGAAAACACAAGGAACCACCAACCCTTCCCCTCCTCCCAGCCCTGGGTGTGATAAAGATTCTAGCTTTTTTGGAAAAAAAGTGCACTAAAAAGTCCAAAAAAGCGGTGAACGAGCAATGAAAAGGAAAGATTGAGAATGTGGGTTTTTTTGGACGAATCGTGTCCTGAAGCACCCACCTCCCCCTGCCCAGGGAAACTGAGGAGGTGGAGGGACCAGCAGGGATGCTGCACATCAGGCATCACCCCTGAATCTCATCCCTCATCCCAGGCTCATGCCACCAGGAGCAGGAGCCAGCCTCAGGCTCGGGTAAGACTTTGCTCACCCCCTCCCCGTCCCCCCCACTGCACCCCAAACCCCTCCTGCCCACTGCATCCCCACAGGGGAAGTCCCTGGGGGGGGGCATCTCGCTTTCCTCTTTTTCCTCCCAAAAAATACACCAGGTTTGGTTTCAGGTTTTTTTTTTTTTTTTGGCTTTTTTTTTTTTGCAACAAAAGAAACTATTTATTTGGAATATGCATTACCAGTACAAATCAGGAAACTGTAAAACCTACACCTTGTTAGTATCGTCATAGAACATAAAAGTCTCAATTGGGATCAGAAAGACAGAGGCCTTTTTTTTTTTTTTCTTTACAGAAGCAGAAAAGCTTAAAGTTTCAAAACCAGGTCGGAACAGAGAGTCTTTTTTTTTTTTTATGGTTTTTCTTTTTTTTTATATTTGGAATCCATTAGGAAGAGAAAAAAAAAGAAGGGGGAAAAAATAGAAAAGAAAAAGCAACTCAGAACAACTGGATCATCTTTACAAGGGATAGAAAGGGCTTTGCAAGAACAAAAAAAGCAAACCGACAAAACCAACCCCCCAGGCAACATTTGATTTACATCATCTTAATAATAATAATAATAATAAAGGTGTACGAAAACAAAAAGACTCCAGGAAACCTTGGGATTAAAAATAAGACCCCAAACCCTAAACCATTCAGTGATGTGAAAAGCTCAGCTTTTTGGGAGGAGGGAGGTGAGCAAGGACAAACTGTTTTAAGACAAAACTAAAGCAATGCCAACCGGTGTCTTCTCAGCGCTTCTCCTTGAACCCCACTCTGCAGTCACTGTGATTTTGGGCATTTTTTGGGGGGCATTTTGGCCCTGTCCCATCATGGCTGGGGGGCTGCCACATCCCGTCCCTTATCCCTCATCCTTCCCAGCGCCCCTGTGCAGCTGGAGCCTGGGGCCAGCCTGTGACACCCCATCCTCAACAAGGTCCATGGTCAAAATGAGGTTGGTACCTTGCTCCAACACCCTCCCTGTTGGGCCAACAGCTGAGGTTGGGCTGATGGGTGCCTCCAAGCCAGGGGTCCTGCAACAAATCCTCGCAGCGAGGGTGCCACCAGGATCCGAGGCAGAGCCTAAGGGTGTTGAAGGCCACCATCTACACATTTTGGGGAGGACTGATGCCCTTTCATCACTTCCAGGCAGCTCAGCATTGCCCTCAGCCATGGAGACCCACAGGGGATCAACACCTGACTCCCCATCACCCCTCGGCATCTCCTCCCCGAGCCCCCTCAGGATTACATCTCTCTCTGGGGACATAACCAGAAAAGCCAGCCAAGAATCTTCTGGAGGTGAGTGTCAAAATGCGTGGGGACCCCCTGGGAGAAGAGAAACACCATCACCCCCCCCAAAACACCACCATCACTTTTCACATCACTTGGGTCACAGCTCAACAGCGCAGGGGAAGCGGCAAGGCCACCGTCTCGGCAAGGTCCAAATAAACTCAGCATCATCATCAAAGCCCCCTCTCCCCTCCCAAATAATGCCAAAAAAAAAATAAAATAAAAGGTAATTTCTGGGTCTCAACGTTAAGAAACATAAAAGTGTTAGACTGTACCTATTAATGCTCACTATTCCAACCATTTTTTTTTCTTTTTAAAGTTTTACAAAATGAATTACTGTCACTTTTTAAACATTGTGTAAGAAATGAGTGTGCACAACTCTACACTTTTCTAGCATTCTTGAACTAATTCACAAATGCGAGAAAATGGAAAAAAAAAAAAACAAACCATGGGAAAAACAAACAAACAAAAAAAAAGAAGATGAATGTAGGTAGTTTGATGTTATAAACTATACAGGAATGAAGCGCTTGTTGACACAGAAAGAACAGGGACGGGACCTTCCCCCTGTTCAATTTTGCGTGCTAAGAGGGTCATTTTTTATTCTTTTATTATAAACACTATTAAATTCCGACTGCGTTTTTGGTTTTTTTTTTTCTCCTTTATCTGAATATACAAGAACATTCATTATCAAATGTTCGTTATCATCAATACTACAAAGAACGAGACACAAATCGCAAGAAACAATGGAAAATGTTAATAAAGCTGAAAGAATCGTCGAGTTTTTTTTGTGGTTTTTTTTTTGTTTTTATTTTTTTTGAGTTTCTGCAGGTTTTTTTTGTTTGTTTTTTGTTTTTTTGTTTTGTTTTGTTTTTTTGGTATCGAAGTCAGGTTTTTCTGGGCAGAAAAAAAAAATAAAAAAAAAAAAAAAAAAAAGAAGAAGAAGGAAAAAAAAAAACAACAACCCCACAACACTCAGGACTGGAAAGGGGAGGAAAGGGAGGAGAAACAAAACCCAAAAATAAAAAAAAAAAAGCAAAGGAAAAGGCAAGCCAGCAGCTACCAGCCAAGGAGAACCGGAGGGACCAACGGGGGAACCAGGAGGTGATTTGCAAAGTACCGTGGAGGATGAGGTGCCCCCCTGGGGCAGGGGGTGCAGGCAGGAGGGGCTGCAGGGCAGGGGAAGGCAGCCCCGGCACACGGGATGTCTCCGGTGAGCGGGTGGTTTCCAAGAGCGGGTGGTTTCGGCTCATTCCTGGTTGGTTTCCAAGAGGTACAGTGGCATTCCTGCAGGCACGGCACCGCTGTCGCTCTGGAGAACACACCTGACCCGGTCCCGCATCCCTGAAACGCTTTGCCGGAAGGGTTCCACGTAAAAGAAGCTGGAAATGGTTAAAAGGCTGCACTGAGGGAGGCCACGGGAGGGGATGGGGAGAGCAGGAAGGCGAAGGGCTTGGGCAGCACCTCCTCATCCTTGGAGAGAACCAACCTTCTCGTTGCTCTTAACATATTCCCAGCTGGGAGTCAGCCCTAGACCTCACAGGTCACATCACGCTCTGCAGCTTGGTCCCCGTCCCCGGGCACAGATGCCAAAGGAGGAGCAGAATGTGTCCCACCGCTGGAGATTAAGAACCAAGCAAGGAGCAGCTTGTGCTGTTTCTTGTCCGCTTTTCACGTCCTACTCTGATCCCACCAGCTCAGAAACAGAAAATCCACTGAATCGGGACTTTCAGTATTTGGGGGGAGGTCACGAATTCCAGAGCGGGTGTTTTAGAGTCTTCTGGGCTTGTTCCCCAGGGAAAGGCAAGCTTCAGGAGCGTCAGGCTGCTGGCGCCACACTGCAAGGTGACAGCATGTCAGAGCCACAGGCACCTCCTTTTTCCAGCAAAAGGGTGGAATTTTTTTCTGGCAGTGCTTTAATTTTAAATGGTTCTTGCTTAATGCTGCTCTGCGCTGGCAGTTCCCATCTCCAGATGGCCCATCACCAGCATGGGCAGGGTGGGCATGGACGCGTAAGAGCATGAGATGTGGCCACGAGCTATTAGGGTCCATCACAAGGTGCCCAGAGATGCTGCACCCACACTGGTTCCCATGACACCCAGGATCTCGCTGTGTTCAGACACCTCATGCCTCCTGGAAGAACCAGTGGCCAAAAGTACCTCCCTGTCACAAAGCTCAGCCCCATTGCCCGGGGCAAACTGGTGCCTCTTAACCCTGCTTTTCAGTGAAAGCCATGTCCTCCCGGTGTTGGCTGCGTGAAGGGGTGTTTTAGCAAGATGGAGCCTTGCGTACCACCCATCACCGCTTGTCCAAAAAGCAGGCCAGAAAAGCTGGGCAGAAAAGCCCACAAGTGCTCCCACGACTTGGGATGCCACTGCCAAGAGTCATTCCCGGGATAAAACCAGCAGCTTCAGCAGAAAGACATTCCCAACCGTCCTACAGAGCTTCATACCAGCAGCTTCAGCAGAAAGACATTCCCAAGTGGGGCAACCAACCGTCCTACAGAGCTTCACCCTTAAGCAAACCTGTTGTATTAACCATTACCAAAAGCACCCACCGTGCTCACCCCACCACATCCAGCCTCGGGGATCCCGCTGCCCGGCAGGGCTTTGGGGATGCAGTGGTGCCACCCACCTCTGTGGGTCCTGCCTGCACTGGGGAACCCCATCTCCTCCTCTTCCACAGCGCAGCACGCTCCCGAAAACATGAGCCAACAACCCATGACACCTTCCTCGCCAGAAAATCTCCACTGCCAGGGTCCCACCAATAACCAATACCTGATCCCATACAACACCACGGAGGTGCCTTCGTTACCAGTGATGGCCATTTCCCGTCCACCTCTGCCTCCTCTCCTCCCCTCCAGCAGCAGGCAGGGAGGATGGTGGGGTTTCATGGCTCACCCAGCTCATGGCAGCCAGTGGGATGTGCGGTGGAGCAGGGCAGGGACCGGGAAGTGCTGGTGGCTTCCCTGGGGCTGGGAATGGGCCGGTACCTTTTGGAAGTGAAGGAGAGCACGCTGGCTTCTTCTCCCACCTGCACGAGGGCCTGCATCCATCACCGGCAGTGATAGCTGACCGAAGCAGGGCTGGGTGCTGGGGGACGATGCACTGGTTGTGGCCGGGGCCGGCGGAGACGAGGTGGCAGCGGGGCTGAGGTGGCATTTCCCTACGGAGAGGTAGCGTGAGAGACACAGGGAGGGGTGGAAAAGGGGGCTGCCTGCTAGTAAAGAAGCGAGACGTGACTGAGGTACGTTTGTGGCTCCTCAGAAAGACACCCAGCACACTGCTTTGCGGTTGTTTTTGTGTGGCGGCAGTTGATTTTTTGCTTTTCCTCCTTAAAATCCTTCTACCTGTCGACACATCCTTCGGTGGGAAGGGGGTGAGGGGAAGGGAGTGGTGTTGTGGCGGTGGCAGGGAGGGGGAGAGCGGCTTCTACCCAGAAAAGAAAGGGAAGAGAGTATAAAGAAGTGTCCAGATTGGCTGAAAAAAGCATCCCGACGAAGAGAAGAGAAGAGGAGTCTTCTTGTGTGTGCTGATTGGGTTCACCTCCAGTCTGACTGCTGCGGTGTTAGGAGAGGCCCCCTCCCCTCCTGCCCCCGCCGGGGCCGGCTCAGCCAGGGATGCAATTTGCTGGGAGATCAGTTGGAGGTATCAGAGTGAACGCTGCCAGGGCCTTCTGTGGGGGAGGTCACCGATGACGGGGTAGTAGCGTCTTGCCAACCTCCATTAGCCTGCAGGAAGGGAGACACAGAGATTGTCAGTCACCCAACAGCACACCCAGCCCTACCCAAGTCACCCACCCCCCTCCTTTGCTTCTCCCTCGGCAGAGGTTGATGTAAGAGGCAAAGATGTCCCCTCTGGCTCACCCATCTGACAACCCACCATGGGGGTCCGTCAGCGGGATGGGGGCAAGAAACAATTCTATCAAAAACAGGGGGTTTGATAAATTGCAAGTGCTCATGTGCATGCTCAAATGCCCTTAAAAAAATTCATATTTCTGCCGAATCCCTGAGCTCTGGTTGTTTGTGGCTTTTTTTACCCCCACATAGGACCCTTCCCCAAATAGAAGGAGAAAAATAGCAAACATCTCACTCCAGAAACCCTACCCTGGGACATTGTCTGGATCCAGGGCCCCTGAACACACAGAACAAGCAATGGGTCCCAAGGGACCGCTGAGCCTCGCCATGTCCCCACCACAGCTCCACGTCCCCCCTTGCTGCCTTTCCAGGCATCCCTTCTGCTGCATGGTCCCTGTGCGGGGGGAAGCCATCAGCACCAAACCTTATTGCAGGGAAGACACCCTGCCCAAACGCCTCTCCCGCCACCATGAAAGCTGCATTTGGGGATGTGGGCCACCTCTCTGCTCCCAATGCAAGAGCCTTCCCCTCCTTGCTCTGCAGTAAAACCACAAACGCGTTTCTGCCACCCCAGGGCTGGTCCTCCACACTCCCCACCACAGCACAAGGGAGGTGCCACCACCATATCCCATCCAAGGGTTCATGCAGCAAAGCATGGTGGACAACTTGTTTCTTCTCCTCAAAAGAAGACGCAGAGCCAAATTCTCCAACCTCTTGAGAACAGCGCTACCGAAGGGCCCTGGCTGCCGCAGGCAGGAGCCAGCAGTGCACAGAAGCTGCTCCACCGTGGCTGCCATCCCCTTCAGAGAGGAGCAGATGTTGCACCCAACCTCCTCTCCTCGCTCTGACATTGATTCAGTGCTCGGCTAATTAATCCTTCCCAACTCCTGCCCAAGCTCATGTTGGTAGCAGCCGCCGTCCCGCTTTTGACATGCCTGGGCTGCTTCTCCTCTCTGGCCGCCTGTCCCACCGCCTCCAGCGCAGAGCATCCATCACCAGCCCTGACAGCTCTGCCTTGCCAGGACCCCGCAGACCCCCAAAGTGGGATAAGGGTAGGGAAAAGCCCCATTGCACTCAGCAGCTGCCCGGGACGTGCCAGCGGGTTGTCCACGCTGCTGACCAGCTCCTGTCTGCCTGAGAGGCAGCTGAGATGGGAGCAAAGAGTTGACCACGGGCAAGCTGTGGGAACCCACGTTTGGAGGGATGGAAACTACTTCGCAGAAAAGACAGAGGCGTGCACACACATAACTGGCTTGTGTGTTCTTCCACGCACAGAATCACAGAATCTTAGTGGTTGGAAGGGACCTCTGAGATCATCGAGTCCAACCACAAAAAAAACCCAAAAAAACCCACACCACACCAAACGCCCACCAAAAACACCGCACCCACCAACTAAACCCCACACTCAACACCTCGCCATAAACCAATAACCTTGGGCACTAGAGCATGCCCTGAAGAGCCATGTCTATACGTTTCTTAAATACCTCCAGGGATGGTGACTCCACCACCTCCCTGGGCAGGCTGTTCCAGTGCCTGACCACTCTCTCAGTAAAGTAATTCTTTCTAATATCTAATCTAAGTCTCCCTTGCCGCAACTTCAGACCATTTCCTCTGGTCTTGTCGTTCGTCCTTTGGGAGAAGAGGCCAACACCTGCCTCTCTACAACCTCCTTTCAGGTAGTTGTAGAGGGCAATGAGGTCTCCCCTCAGCCTCCTCTTCTCCAAGCTAAACATGCCCAGTTCCCTCAGCCTCTCCTCATCGGACTTGTTCTCCAGACCCCTCACCAGCTTGGTGGCTCTCCTCTGGACATCGCAGGGATGGGAGTGTGCAAACATGTTCCCTTGCAAAGGGGTTCAGGCAACAGCAAGGAAGACAGGAATCGCAACCTGAGCTTGCAAGCAGGTTAGCAAAGCCCACTCCACCTCACCTTGGGTGCGAGCATGAAACCAGACCACACGTGAACATTAACAGCCCCGTGTGCCCCCCACCTGCAGAGACCTCACCATGCCCACCACCCCCTCAGCTTCCATCCGTAGCTGGGCCCTGACCCACCGTCCCTGCGCTCCCCAAGATGCAATATCCACCCTTACATGTCTTGGACCGCTGCAAGAGGCAGCAATTACTGTAGATTATCAGCCCGACAATGACAGGCCGCGTAAAGAGAGACACAGAGCCAACTCCACCGCCCTGAGACTGGCATATTCAAGTACACTTAGGACATTAATAGCAATTTACGTGCCATCAGTGAGAGAGAACCACAATAGCTGTGCTGGCAGCCTCTTATTACCAAGCCTGTTATTTGTTGGAGTTACAAGCTATAATCACAACAGAAACTTTCAAAACCCTTATCTTCCGTGACGCACCAAATCTATTTCAGAGCCGTAATTGCTATGTCACCAGAGAGTTTGCTGCTTAATGCACTCAGATGCCATTTAGTGTTTGCAGGGTCATTACGGCGAGCAGGAGGGGGGGAGAGCGGAGGGGGCCGTGTGGAGCAGGCCTCCGTCCCCATTGTGCTCAACTATTTTTAGCGAGGCTTTTGCCTGGAAGGCAAAAGGACTGGAAGGAGCAAGAAGTAGAGCATCTTACAGACAGCGACTGGGGTGCCTCCATGGTTAGCACCCTGACCCCCAAAACGCGTGTCGCAGGAGTCTGTGCTGCTCACGACAACCTCAGTGGCATCCAGTGGGAAGACAAGAGGATGCTGGGGAGAGGCTGACCCGTACTGGGGCACCCTTCACAGACCCCACACCTTCCTGCTCCCCCAGCCTGGCAAGAGGACCATGTTATGGGTCAAGCAATGGAAAGACAGCTCCAAAGTTGGCCATGACTTTAGAATTTTACTGCCATCCTTTGGTACAGACAAGCCCTCTGGAAGGAGGCTGGATCCTTCCGCAGGCAGAGGGTATGTAGGCACCATCCACACTCATCCCTCCTCTCCTGGAGTTCACCCCATTGCTACACAGACCAAGCCACGTGCAGGATACATCCGATTCCACCCAGCTGGCCCTGCATCCTTCTGAAGCAAGGAGATCCCTTGGGATCTCCCTCAAAGACAAAGGAGTCTTCTGAGGAGGCTGCTGCTCCTCGCAGAAGGAGGAGCCTCTGAGGAGCCCCTGCACACAGCTGTGACTTCTTCAGGAAGGGCAGAAGCCAAAAACAGAGCAACCATCTCCAGGACACCTCTTTATATATCACCTTCTGGTGCCAGAGCACAGGCAAGGTCTTGGTGGCTGTCCAAGTGGTGGAGGCTTGGTGATGGACTGCTGAAGTAACTGGTTTTGGTGCCCATTTCCACAGGTCCCACAGCATTTTTGTCACCTCCAGCAAGTCTGGTTGGCTCTTTGCCCAGGCCTCCTACGTGGGGCTGGGAGATGACTTTCTGCCAATCTTTAAAGGAGCCTTCTGCTTTGCATGGAGAATGTTTCAACCTCCCACCTTCTGTGACGAAATCCCTGTGCCACCATCAATGGGGCAGAGTGTCAGGACAGCCTCCAAACACACCAGATGCTGGCAAGTCAGACAGATAGGGAGTAACCTCAAAGAGGTTTCAGACCTCTGAATTCCCTATCAGGGTCTCCTTATGATATGCACTGAAGCTCTTGTTACACATCAGAGAATCCAGCCTTGTCCAGCCATTACTTTCCAAATGTCGTGGTGCCAGTCTCAAGACACAACAAGGCATCTCTGACAGATGAGGACTCTGAAGCCCTGCCAGACCAGCTTCCATATCCCAACTTGTGATCATGATGGTGAACTGTAGCTTCCTGAGGAGCAGAGCAACAACTGTCTTTTCAAGACCCAGATTCTTAGAGAAAAGGGTCTCAGCACAAGCAAGGAGGCCTCACCTCCTACAGGTACCAGTGCCCAGTGGTCCTTGTTGACAGAACTGAGTGGAAAACTCAATGGCGCAACCTGCCCCTGACCACTGCCATCACGACAAAACACTCTGCTCTGTGAATAGATGCAGCTCTGCAGGACAGGGCTTTTAAATCAAAAACCTTGCACTCTTTAAACTTTATAAATAGCCCCTCATTTTAGACTTTTAAATGATCTATAAATTAAATTAAAGTCCAAAAATAAATTTCTGAAAGTTTTCCTTTAGGATGACTATAGCTCATTCATTAATCAGCAGACAGGGGACCTAAAACACTTTGTGGATTTAGGGTCACAGGGCAGTGGCAGAAAGGGCAGTGTTTTGGGTTGGGCAATAAAGATCCAACTTCTACTGGAACCCACCAGAACCCGGACATCAAAATGCTTTGAAATTGCCAGCGTCAGGGACCCCGAGCTGGGTATGCACATGGACCCCTACAAACTAGCACTGTCCAGAGCGACCAGACACCTTTCACTTCATGGTGCAACATCCCCAACCTCAAAGCTTGCAAAAAGGGCTGGATCAGGCCCCAAACGTCCCCTCCTTTCAGGCGAGCGGGGCCCTCCTTCATCTCAGTGGTACCCAAGGCAGGGCATCCTCAAGACGGCTCCTGCCTCTACCACCCCTCCATCACCAAGAGCATACCTGTCCCTCGCCAGGACCGGTGCTGCTCGACGCCATCCCCACCTGCAGAGGAGAAGGCGGCTGTTCTGTGTGTCAGCCATCACCGTGGGTCACGGAGATCACGGTGGCTGGGACATCACCCATTATCCCGCTAACGATGTAGAACCATCTCCAGACCTTTCTGCCCCGCGGAGCGGTCTGTCAGCCGTCGAGCAGCAGAGCCACGGAGGGAACTGGGCTTTGGGTAGATTCCTGTCCTCAGCTGTCATGACTTACACGCATTTAAAAATTCATCCTCCATCAAGGAAGGCAAACCCCGAGCGTTGTCTCCCCTGCCAAGGTTTGCAGCGGTGGAGCTGGGCAACCTGCCGCT